GAAGGAACTTAAGTTTCCCCAGTGTGTTCTCTGATACAGTTAGAACAGAAGTAGAGAAAAGGAAACGGTGAACGCAGCACATGGTTCGGCTGAAAGGCCTTTCACGGTGCCGTCACTGGGCTGTGTTGCACGGTTAACATGGAGACTCACCTTGAGCTCCTGGATGGTATTGTGGAGCCGTCTGCGCTCCATTTCTCCGGCATGAAGCTCATCCTTTTGCTGGGCCACCGTCTCTTTGAGACAGCGAACCTCCTCCTCTGTGTCTCTGAGGGTTGTCTGCAGGCGGGCCAGAGTTGACTCCTGTACGGAGAGCTTCATCTGGAGAGAAAAGAAAGAACAACTTTCTCAAGATCTTGATAGGATTTCAGGAAAGTAAAAGGTCCTTGTTTTCTTGGTTAAATACCGAGTCGTTCAATAGAATAAATAACAGTCTTATATAAATCCACGGGTAAAGTATGGCAATAGTTCCATGAGAGTTCTGGACCCTTGGCAGGTCAAGTCTGTCAAATAATGGCATATTCATGTAATGATGCTACACATCCAAAATAACCACTATTATCTGCTGTCCCGAAGCTGCTATTATACCTTGAGAGTTTGTAGCTCTGTCTCTTGGCTGTCTCGCAGCGTCTCCATGACCTTGTATTTGACCTCTAAGTTGGAGAGCTCTTTCTGAAGAGTGTCCTTGTCACTAGACACTTTCTCCAACTCATCCCGGACTCCTGACAGTGCCTGCAGCTCCCCCTCATACTCCCTTTAATCAGCAAAAAGAAATTCAATTTGATGGATTACAAACAGATACATTAGTAACAATGGAATGTAATGACAGTAAAATGTTAAATTTAATACATTTTTCCACGCTAAATGGTCTTTGCACCTGATCTGGTTCCGCTGCTTCTCGAGCTGTTTCTCCACTTCAACCACTCTTGTTTGGCTCTGGACCATCGAGCCTTTAAGAACCTCATTCTCCTGGTTGACAGATTTGACCTTGGTCTGGTAGTTACGGATCTTACCCTCCATGTCACTGACCTTACCCTTGAGGTCCCATGCTTGCCGTCGCGGGGCCCCGCCCCCACCTGTAAACAAGAGCATCATCAAGATTTGTGACAGATCTATTCAGACCTCAGTCTTCACAGGAGACATCTTGAAATGTCTTGGTAGAAAAAGCAAAGTATAATCTTTTCTGCTTTGCACCATTTTTCCACAGATTTTAACATTTCATGAAAACTATTAATAATAAACATAACCTCCAAACTATGGTTTGTCACTTGTCAGATAGGGTGGTAGTTGTAGTTCTCTTCTGCCATGCACACAGCCATTAACTAAGCACCAAATATTAATTCAATTGATTGGACACGATTTTGTAAAGAAAAAAAAACAAGTGGAATGGATTTCTCACCTGCTTTTGTGCCAGTGGAAACAGCAGGTTGTTTTACGTTGCCTCCCTTTGCTGCAGCTGAAGCTATAGATGGTTTCAGTACACCTGATGAGACAAAAAAACAGGAAAGGACCGTGCATAAAAATCAGTGCCCCAGGTGAAATTTAGTGATGAAATGCCTGTAATCCTGACATAAATATAAATCCCAGCTCACAACCTTTACTCAACTGCCCAGCAGACAGGTCATCTTACCTCTGGAAGGACCAACAGCCACAGTGGCAGCTCCCACACCTCTGACTGTCCTAGCTGTGAGGGACAAAGAGAAACAGAGAGAGCCATGTTTAATATTAGGACAAAGGCATCATTAGGCTGGAGGAAAAAAGGGCTGAAACTGTGTCTAATGATACTTTGCTAGAACTAATCCCCAAAACATATGCAACCCTGGGGCATTCTGAAATGTTACAAGTGAGATCTAGAGATCTTTTTTTTCTAGAAAGATCTAGTAAAAAATACCTGCATGAAAAGTTATGTACCGTTTCTGATCTTCATGAAAAACAGAAAGATTCTGAAACTTGTGTTTGAGTAAGTAACTTACAAAGAGGTGCCCTGGTTGCTGCAACAAGAGGCCGCTTGCCACCGATGACTGTAGCTGCTGCCTGGGGTTTGACAGACTCTGGGTCCTTACGAAGCTTCTTCTGTAAACACAAAAAAAAAAACCCAACCACCACCAGCATTAAGCAAGAGCAGTGATTATTGAGCTTTTTGAACTATAGAAATAATCTACTTTGTTTTGCACATGATCATTTTAGGGACAAATGTTTACCAAACATCACGATGGAAACAAAGCAGATGAAATGAAAGATGTGGATGGTTTTTAGTACAAACCTGCGCAGGCGCAAAGTCTTGGCCATTCTCTAAGCTGCTGCTGCTGCTGCTGCTGCCAAGGACCCTTTTGCTGCTTGACATAACTGGTAGGCGGGACATGCTCTGTTGAGAGTTGAGAGGTAAATTATGGTCGAACCAGAACAACACATAACAACATCTCAAGCATGAACACTTCTGTCATTTTTCACTGTTTGATCTGAGTCACAGAGATAATAAACAGTTACCAAAATCCCCAAAGATTCAAACCTTTAAGCAAAGACATGTCCTTCCTGGACACCCCCTTTGTTTGGATTGGGAAAGGTCTCCATTTAGGAACAGATTTAAAATATTTTTGTCATGCAACGGACAGAATATTTTTCCTGTTAGTTTGAGAAGCTTTTGAGGATTCCGGAAGTATATTGTTTTATCAGATGCATAGCTCTTTGGCTCGAATGCAAAGGTGATAGAGAGGCACAAACTGGAGGTAGGGCATGATCTGATCTGCTACACCGGTTGTTTGAGTATAAATTAAATCTCTGTGTATATTATTAGAATCGTAAAGGAAATTAAAAGATAACCCAATTTTAACGTTAATCTCAGTCTCAGATTAAGTGTATCACACAGATGCTACGGGTGCGGTTTAACGTTACACTGTACCTAAATCTCATATGAGTGAGTGTTAAGACAGCCAAAATAACAGCATCGAGTCAAATAATGTTTCTTCAAAAGACAATAATCGGACAAAACGAAATGGACCGTGTTACCAGTTACCACTCTAACAACTACAACAAACTTAGGTTACGTTACAACAGTGATAGCGATGGCTAACCACGCATCCAAAGCCGATACTACCTGCCGAAACGTAACCAAACTCAAACATATGATGTCTCGTTTAGCAACGTGTTAAATAAAAATTAGCTTCGATTGGATTGCTGTTAGCCATATAAAACCAACCAACCAACCTAAGTCGATGATATCACGTAAATGCCGTTAGCTTGAGCATACAGTAAACAGCTCCGATAAATTACTGGACCAATCGTTTCTGGGCAGAGGTTTGCAAAACGCTTTTCACAATTAGGAATAAGCGAAATTATTAGTTTTGATTTATGAAAACAATTACCTTAAACAAAGTCCAGTCTCCGCTCTCTACAACCCTTCACCGTCTCCAGCCGTTTGAATTTGAAATTGAACTATTTTGGTGGGCGCTTCGGACAAGCCGCCGTGATTGGTTGAGCCAGCATAAACCCCGCCTCCGTGTTTTTGTATGCTTGTTACGCTCTATAGAGTGTCCCGCTTGGGCGGCATATACACTGTTTGCACTGTTAATCACGGGAATATCCAGTTGATGACTTGATAGGTGAACCAAATCATATTTATGATTCATTATAGCCCCATCACTTAGGAAATTTGGCTCACTTCTCATTATTTCTTCATAATTAGGTGGAACTGCTGCAAAGGCTTTAGAAGAAAAGAGCTAATGGTTTTTGATTGGCAAACCAGCGTTAAAGAGGTGTCTCTTACCGTGACCTCGTCCTACAAATTCTTACTTTCCTGTAAACATTTTTTTTTAAAACAGGTCACAAAAATAAGGATTTTTACACATTGAAACATCTTTTCCACAACCTTAATTTTATTTAATCTTAGTTCAAGTTTCATGCATGTTTCAGGCCATTAAAGCAATGTAGTTTGGCTCATGCATGAAGTAGTGAAGCTCATTCTGTCTGCATGTGCTTCAACTCACTTACGCAATATTAGTCACATTTAAACTTTGTTTTTACATCTCTTAATACTTCTTCAACAACTTCATCATACAAATTCAAGTCAGCAACACAGTTTAGCTTTAGTTTGTGCAGAGGCAGCAATCGCACTGATTTCTTCAGAAATTACATTTTGTAGTTGGAATCCACTATTCTCTGTCCATATTTAATAGAACAGATATGGCTTTTGCCTTTCGATGTAGCATATTAAAAAAATACAGCAATTGAAAATTACATGGACAAAAATAAAGACGGACTAATTTTAAGACAAAAACATTAGACATCTTATCCCCAGGCTAACTTGGTTCTAAGACCAATGTTGCCATGGTAACGATCAGTGACACCTGTGCTGACCAGTAGCACCCAACAACCAGAAACAGGAAAGCATGGCTGGTTTCCTAACATTGTTGTGGAGAATGCAATGAGAAGGGAAAGATATTTAGAGACCTTCTTTTTATTACATTATTTGTTACTCTCTTGCTGAATTTCCTGCATTGAATGTCCTAACTGTCCTAACTCATTTTCTGCTGGGGCGAATGGGGCTGGTTAAAGTTCCTCGGTCGGCCATTTTTCTTATATTAAGAAGGCTTAATTTACCCAGAATTCATTGTACCACAGTCCGGCTGAAAAGTGTCAAAAACTAAACTGCTTTGTGTAACAAGTTCATTCTATCTTAAATCTGACTATTTGATGTATTTCAGCCACAGTCAAGGTGTGTTTGTGAAACCCTGCAAATCACCTAAAAAGTAGCGGAAAACAGCCCAATCTGGCAACACTGCGCAGAGCCAGCCAATGAGGGAGAACGGGCCGGGTCAGTTGGTCACATGCTGAAACGTCACGTCTTCCGCGTTGATGTATAAAACACAGGAGCTACCGTCAGTGGATGGGTTAACGTTGAGCGTAGCCGTTCCAGTTTGTTTTAACGTCGTGTTTTGTAACGCTGCCAAAAAAAAATTCAGCGCTCATGTGACTGTTTTTCTCAGGTAGTGAAAAACAGAAACACACAGCTAGTCTGGTGTTTTGTCGGCAGAGATGTAACACAATTCATCCGCTTTTATGGCCACACGCTGTTTTACATCCACCACAACGGAGCGAGCTTTCTCCACCAAGTGTCTTTGCTTTAAAGCCCTCGACCAGGTAAGATTAGTTTAACCAACTGTCCACACAGTTGTCATTAAACAGTAATACAGACTAAGCTTATTCATGTAATTCACTATCTCTGGTTCACGTTCAGTTATTACGTGGTTTATTAACACACACTCAGAGATGAGGGAAGCAGTTAGATCTTTTACTGAGGTGGAAGTATCAAAACCACACTGTAGAAACACCCCATGTAGAAGTCCTGCAATCAGTATATTATGTTATGTATTATTAAGATAGAAACTAAAAGTACTCACCGCAAATAAGTTGTCCCTGTGAGTGTATATAGTAAATCTAATGATATGCTAAATATACTAAATACTATATCATTGGATTATTATTAATGCTTGAGCAGGATATTAAAAAACGAAAAAAGGAAAATGGCAACTGATGAGGAAGTCAAGCAACTGGCATGGGGAAATATTTAGCAAATAATCTTTAACAGTACTTGTGTGTGTGTGTGTGTGTGTGTGTGTGTGTGTGTGTGTGTGTGTGTGTGTGTGTGTGTGTGTGTGTGTGTGCTGAAATGCCACACAAATGACTATCAAACTTGTGTAATAGAATATATCGTATAGCCCATCATATACTTTATTTGAACCATCATATGCTCCCTAAAGAAAAACCAGCACAAACTTTACTTTTAGATACATGTGCAGCAGCTACAATGCTTAACTTTACTAGTTTTGATAGTTTATGAAGGGTCCTGACATAATGAGGCTGAGTCTAAAAAACCTGAATTTTTACCATGATATACAACATGCACAAATGAGTTTGGTTTGTTAAACTGTTAATCTCTCCTCTGTCACACATTTAACACTTCATGTCGAACCTGTTTCGTCACTTTCAGTTTTTGCCTTCAATTTGCATTATTTAGTCATATTTTACAGTGGTGTCGTGTCCTTTAGTTGCACTGAGGACCAGATCATGAATTGACTGAAAATTAATCTGGTTTAAATTCAAATAACCTGGTGAATCATTTTAATAATTTCGATAAAATTACTGAATATCTGCCACTTAATGCTTCATCTTATGTCTGAACAGCTGTAAAAAAAAATATATAGGGCTGCAACGATTATTTTCATCAGTGATTAATCTGATTATTTTTTAGTTTAATTGTTTAGTCTATGAAATGAAATAGCAAAAATATATCCATCATAGTTGGGTAGTCCCCTCCTTGTTATGTCCAATCACAAGACTAAAATCCAAAGATGTTAAATTTACAATAAAACAAAAGAAAAACAGCAAATAGGAGCTGGAACCAGAGACTATTTTGTTTTGTTTTCCTGTTTTTGCTTGAAAAATTACCTAAATTATTCACTCATTGTCAGAATAGTTGCAGATTGTTTTGTCCATCATTTCTGCTTTTATCACAAATGGAATATTTTGTGTCTTTGCTGTTAGTTTGACAAAATAATCTGTTTAATGACATCATTTTGGGCTCTACCAACTCCCAGTGGGCGCTTTTCAGTTTTCATTAGGCTTTTATTGGTATATAGTAACTGTTATAGGATCCAACTTTCAGCCCTTATCTTTTTTATAGAGTTCAGTGCTGTTAATTGGACTCATTCACACTGCAAACTAGGTAGCAGAAATGGAGAATCTAATGTTATATAATGCGTTAATTGTTCCAGAGAGAAGGCATGAATTGAATCTCATGATAGACTCACACACACATAGTTGCTCAGACACTCACTCCAGACATGAGTCACATGGTGACGTTAACACTGTGTGTTTTGTCAGTAATGAAGTTAACACGTGGATTGGGACAGCGGCCACATAGCACAATATGTCAAGGATGCACAATGTGTTGGTCATGTTATTGATATCTAATAATAGCTTATTAAGAATGTGCCAACACACTTGACAAGGAAGCTTTCAAAAAAAAAATTGATCTGAAACAATTAGTCAAATAATCAATTACTTTTCAAATGTGAATGTTTTCTGTTTTTATTTTTTAGTTGTTTATGATGGTAAAGTTTTGACGTGTTTATCAGTCAAAACAAATTGGGACAGACATTTTTCACAGTTTTCTGACATTTTATTGATCCAGCGACTGATTGATTAATTGGGAATTTAACCGGCAGATTAATTGATGATGAAAATAGACGTTAGTTGCTGCTGTGATTTTAGATAATTCATGGTAAAATAAATGCCACATGTCAGAAAAATGACCTTTTATTTGTATCAAATTTTTTAACATGACAATAACAAATTGCTTTTAAAATGCATAAAAAAATATAACAACAGCAGCAAAGTCCTCAAATCAGATGAAATAGAATAAAAAACAATGAAAAAAGTTTGTCAAATTGTGTGTTGAGAATAGAATTAAACGAGCGTATGGATTTTGTTGACATAATTTCCTCAGGCAGGTCACTCCACAGCTTAGAGCCTTAATCTTTGTTCAATTCAAGAGGAAACTGAATATTTTTAAGTTTGGAGGTGTTTGTCTGAGATAATCTGAAGACGTCTCATTGGGCTTTAGCATATTGTGATGACAACATTTTTTAGACCAAATGATTAATCGCTTCATTGAGACATAAATTGGTATATTGATCAGTAAGGAAAATAATAGTTATCAGAAGCCTAAACACGATTTACATAACGACATAAACACACTTTCAGTCCGGTCACTTCAGACACGTTGTTGTACGGAGGCTTCAAACCTGAAAGCGTTGTTGCTTTTAGTGAATATTTGTCCACTTGGGGTCAAAGTTTTGGAGCAGGTGACTCTTTCCTAAGACAAAATGACTGAGTGGACAGATGAACACATGAATCTGTCAGACTGCAGTGATCATTTAAGCTTCATTCACAGACACAGTGACAGTTTATTGATTTGATAACCTCAGACCAGCTGCTGCAGAGGATCTTTGGCCCGTTCTTGTCTGTTATGTGTGTATTGTGACAACACTGTAAAATTCTTGAGTGTTATGAAACCCACCTCAGCCCCCCCCCCCCCAAAAAAAAAAAAAAAAAAATGATCAGATAATGTCAAACATGCACCATCAGCAGCATACTTTCCTCTCAGTTCCTGAATAGCAAGTCTCCTGCCGCTCTCATCATGAGTCGAGTTTTTCCTGCCCATTAAAGCTGAACAGCAACAAGTGTGAGAAGTGAAACTCAGAACAGCGGCTCGGCGTTTATATCCTGCCCCTTAAAAAAACAATTTACTGACAAATCCATTTAATAAGATGAACAGGCTCATTTAATATGCAACGTTACATTGTTTGCTTTTATAAGGCCACTAATACAAATTTTTTTCCATGCTGTTTAAATGAATCTCTAATTTCCCAGAGACCCAAGGTGACGTCTTTACACTCAAATATATTCAATTTTCTGTCATGTACGACATAGAAAAGCATCAAATCGCAACTCCAGTTCATTTTGTCTTCCTTTCATTTTTTTTTTTTTAATAACATTCAGAGGAAAACAAAATCCTGAGGTCTAGGAAGAGTTCATCAGTTAAACACAGATACCACTCGCTCCACATAGATCCAGACTTCCTCATAGTTCAACTTTACTTCTGCTCAGTCACTGCAGGTCAGTGAACTGATAGAGATGATCTGAGTTTCCCAGACTTGTTGCAACACCTCCTCAGGTATTTCCTGTCTTATCTGTTTTTCTCTCCTTCAGTTGTTTTAGGCTGATTTTGGTTTCCCAAACCCTTTTCAAACCCACAGTGGTCAGTGTGAAGCCGAGCCCCTGGGTGCTTTTCTTAGTTCCTGAAAAGTCAACATTTTACACAACAACAACAACAACAACAACAACAACAACCACTGTTGTGTTTGTGTTTTTTCCTTTGATGACAGGTCCCAGTTTGTGGTTCAGCAGTGAAGCCGTTCTCCATCTGAGCATCAGTCACTCTTGTAAGTGTCAACAACTCCTGAAAACAGGAAGTGTGTGTGTGTGTGTGTGTGTGTGTGTGTGTGTGTGTTCATGTCATCAGGCTTTCTGTTGTGTCACTTGACTTGAAGTTTATCTCATATCCTCCTTGTGTGTGTGTGTGTGTGTGTGTGTGTGTGTGTGTGTGTGTGTGTGTGTGTGTGTGTGTGTGTCCAGCAGTTTTCCTGGTCGCCATGCTTCACTGACATCACTTTACAGACTGAGTATTTGCTGGCTGAGCTGACTGCCATGCCACAACCAAATGGCTACTCCATCAACTCGGCGCCTTCGAACGACGGCGAGGACGATGAGCCCCTCATCGAGACCGATGCAGGTGCGTTTCTGTTTGTAGCAGCCATTTTTATTTTCTACAGGTTTCAGCTTCTTTGAGTTGTATTTATGTTTCTGGCTGCAACTAACATTTATTTTCATAATCCATTAATCCGCAGATTATTTTCTTGATTAATCCATTAATAGTAACAGATACCAAGGGGGGAAATGTCTTGATTTGTCCAACTAGCAGTCCAAAAGCTAAAAATATTCCGTTTATTGTAATGTAAAGACATGATAAAATGGCAACTTTTCCGATTTGGTAACCTTAAAAAACTTAAAAGACTGTTTATGTTCATCTATTTTAAAAGAAGACAAACAATTAATCACTTATCAAATAGTTGCAGATTAATTGTCTAATCGTTGCAGCTTTGTTTATATTTATATTTAACATAAATCTCTGATACAAACAAAGACATTCTCACTTCCAACTTGACATCAAGGCTGCAACTTCTGATTATTTTTTTTCATTTTCATCAATGAATCTAACTATTGTTTTTTCAATTAACTGATTCACTGTTTAGTGTATAAAATGTCTTTTTAATGATCAAAGTACTATTATTATTTTGCCCCTGGAACTGGAGGTTGGATCAAAAACATCAGCTTTTTGCATCTGTAATATTTGACATGGATTCTTTTAATATAACGTATAAATATGCTGCTCTTATTTATTGTACATCATGGATAAACCGTGACAAAGGGTTTTTATCTGCCCCTCCAATACTAGAGCTACACCTGGCCAAAACAACCCAAAAAATAAATAAATAATAATAATAAATGCAGCAGTTGAGTTTATGTAGTTTATAAAATGTCATGAAAAAAAAGAAAAAAATAGCCATCCCAGTGTCAATGAGTCAAACCTCTTGTTCAGCCCAAAGACTTTCAGTTTACTGTGATTAAAAACACAAAATCATAATATTTGAGAAGCTGAAAACAGAATTTTTTGGCATTTTTACTTGAAAAGTTATCTAAATAGTTGGTGGTTATTTTGATCCACTAATAGATGAATCGTAATGTGTTATATGTATTCATTTTGCGCAGACACTGATCAGACAAGTTGAATATGCAGCAAATTCATTTTGTCGTCGTCTCTCCTGCTAATGAAGAAAGTTTGTATGGTATTATTTTTCTCTGTTTGTGACTCTACAGTTTTGTCACATTTCAGTCTGTGAACAGGAACACCAACAACTTGGTGTCATGTGCTGAATGTCTCTGCTCCTGTGAGCAACAGAGAAGCAGTAACGACTACAACAGCGTGATATTTACTTTAGTGTAAACGCTTGTGGGAGTGTGACAGGTCTGTGTCTCTGTTCACTCAGCAGATTCTCTGTAGTTGTGTCAGTCACACACACATCAGCACCTCGCTGGTTACATAAGATGTTAATGATCAGATGGCTGCAGTTAAACTGAAACCAACTGAAAGAAACACACATAAAGAAGATAGTGCTCTTAAACGAGCAATGAGGCTTTTAGTTACAAGTTAACATAGAAGCCAATTAAAAGTCATAATTCAATGATTGCTCTCTTGTGTTTCCATGTTTGTGCTGCAGTGAAAAATTGCACAATTCAAAGCCCAAAACAGGAACCTGCTCATTCTGTATTTACAGCTGTTGAAATATGTGTGGAAGCACTCAGCACTGTGATTCTCTAAAATCAGTATTTACATAAGAAAACTTTGTAAACACAGGAAATAATCAGGAAATGTCTTTAAAATCACATGTGTCATAAGTTTATAGATAAATAATAATACCTCTTTATCATATGAAGATTATCTATAATTTATATGGTCAAAAATGAATATGTAATATAATGAAAAATAAGAGACAAGTCATTAGAAATAACTATATACAGTATATACATTACAGTATGTTAGACTATATAAGTGAAGTGTGCAAACATTTGTGCCAGAGAGGTCCAGCAGTGTAACTCCATCAGCCATGATGTGTGAACTGTTGTTTACAGTATTATTATCTAGGTGTATTTTTGAATAATAAGTACAATATACATAATAATATAAGATAAGATAAAATATTCCTTTATTAGTCCCACAGTGGGAAATGTGCAGTATTACAGCAGCAAAGTGACAGTGCAAAGAAAGAAAAACTGCAAAATGACAACATCAAGTACTTAAAAAAGATAAATAATATAATAATTTATATTTTATTTATAATATTTGAATATAACAGAAACAAAAAATTACCAGCAGATAAGTGATATTGCACGGATGGTGTTTTAAATTGTTGCACATGGTTGAATTGTCAGTCTTTGGTGTGTGTGGTCTTTTGAGTGCGTATAGTTCAGCCCTACTGACCAGTAATAAAACAATACTGTGAAGTAGATATAATAGAATGGAACAGAATCGTTGTTGTCCTGTGAAAACCATGTATCTCCATGTAATAGTGCATTTTTCAGGTAATCCAGTGTGAAGTAACACTTTGATTAATTAATTAACACCATAATTCTGTACCTAATATATTTAAAATGACTACAATAGGAGATACATGGTTTCCAGCCACATGTAAATACCGTTGTACCGTGTGTGAACAGTTCCTCCTCAGTGCTGCTCGGCTCGCCTCAACCTCGCCTTCCTCATGTTCCTGGGGTTCTCCGTGGTCTACGGTCTCCGTGTCAACCTCAGTGTTGCCATGGTCGCCATGGTGAACACCACTGACCCCAGACCAGCCCAGAACAGGTCCATCATCCACGCTTGTCCACTGCCGCCGGGGACGGAAAACAATAGTGACGTGTTCCTACAACCTGCGGGGGTAAAGTTTCAATGTTTATTTTCCTTTTTACATTTTTCAGGGAATCTGCAGGTTTTTTAAACCTGATTAAATATCATTCAGTCAGATCATGTACTCTGTATTCAACAGGTGTAGGTCACCGATCCACCTTGTCTTCCTGTCTCTCCCTGTTTTTATGAATGACTGTTACTATAAATACTCCCTCTCTCTCCCTCTCTCTCCCCCCTCTCCGTCCCCAGACCCCTCAGTACCCGTGGGACTCGGAGACTCAGGGCTGGCTCCTGGGGGCTTTCTTCTTCGGCTACCTGATCACACAGATCCCTGGAGGTTACCTGGCCGGTCACTACGGGGGGAGTATCTTCATGGGTTTGGGTGTGCTGGGCACGGCTGCCCTCACCCTCCTCACCCCTCTGGCTGCTCAGTTCGGGCCGTACTGGCTGTTTGCGCTGCGAGCTTTGGAGGGCTTCGGGGAGGTAAGAGGCTGCTGGGCCAACGGAGGAACCTGCTGGAAATGCACAGTGTGGATTTTCGGCGTTGTACCTCGAGTTTACAGAGAAGTTTATTTTCAACAAAACAAAAATCACACATCCACAACAAAATACAAAATAAAGTAATGGTGGAGTTGTCTGGAGATATAAGTATATTCTCTCTGACTCTCGACTCTCAGCATGACGAAAATGTCTGACCATTCCCAGCCGCTGTTCCTGATTTGGAGCGTTTACATTCAGTTAGTTTCTGACAACACCTTTCTTATTTGCTGAGATTTTATTTTTAATTAAATATTTCATATTATTTGGGATTCCATATCCAGAAATAGTTTTACCAACTCTGTTAACATTTTCCCAATATAGCCTTATACAGCCTCCCACGGTGATGTTGTGCAGGAAGTTGCCTGTTTTTATTTTGGGTGTGCAGAATTCCCTCCACACTAGTGAGTGTGTGGATGTGCAGCAATAGACTGATACATCAGTTTGCTGATAAATAAACTGATAACAGTTTTTGGCTTTTAGTGAAATATTGAATGTTGACAATGATGGAAACGATTGCCTCACCACAAATATGTAAAATCAGTCAATAAAATCTGCCACTTTTATATATTTCTATTCAGATTTTCAGCAAATTAGTTCTTCATTAAAAGATTTGAAAGATCTTCTATCGGTATAAGTGAGTTTCCGTCAAAGTTGTAGCTCAAATTTGAACAGAATTTAAATGTGAAATTCTTTGAATGATGTGAAAATTAAGAGTTTAGTTCATAGAGATGAACAGCTGGGGGAGCTAGTTCTCCAGTCGGGTCTCATTACACCATTGCAGAAGAAGATGATGTAACGTATGATGGAGATGTGGCATTTATGTGATTCATGTATTAATCTGAGGAATGTCACCGTCTCCTCATCGCTCCTCACTGATCTGTTTCTCATCTGTTTCTATTGATTCAACATCTCCTCCTCAGTCAAGAGTAAAAACATTTTTGGGATGTTTTGAGATATTTTTCACTCCGGGTCTTTTCTCAAGTGCAAATTGAAAACATGCATTAAAACACGTTATGTGATCTGTGCACTGTTTCAGAAGCTTTTACAAAACCTCACGATGCTGCGTATCGACATTCTTTACTGGAAAATCAGCAAAATAAAATGTTCTGTTGGGTGTTCACCAGTGTGTCTCGCTCTTCGTCTGCCTCCGTGTTTTTCTCAGGGCGTGACATTCCCGGCCATGATGGCGATGTGGGCTCGGTGGGCCCCTCCTCTGGAGCGCTCTCGCCTGATGACCCTGTCGGGATCCGGGGCCAGCTTTGGAGCCTTCCTGGCTCTGCCGCTCACCGGCTACATCTGCCAAACTCTGGGCTGGCCTGCTGTCTTCTACCTCTGTGGTGAGGGAGGGAACTGCACACAAACCTGAATACAGTCACGTGCTCATGTACATCATGACACACCTTAGTCTCTCACTGGAAAGACACCGGGGCGGAGAATGCAGCTGCAGTGCACAATAATAAGTGATTTAAACATTCAGGATATTCATTTCCTGTCTGATAAATATGGTTAACATGTAAGAAAGTAAATATTTGTTGCTGGATTTATATAGAAATCAATTATCGGTCATTTGTAGAATATTAAAGAAGCACAAAATGAATGTTTTACCATGAGAAAAATAATCTGAGACATTTGATTTGACTTCCAAACTTTACTAACTTTCATACATGGTGTTCTGATATTAAAGCATTATCTCTCGTGGGTTATGATGATGTGACCTCTTCTCTGACTGGACTCCCAAAGCCAATAAAATACTGCTCCACTTCACGTGATGCGTTTACAGCAGTTTGACTTTGTTATGACATTTGGCCTGAATTCAATTCCTTTAATTATTCACCACCCTGAACAGTAAAAGTCTGACTCCCTCCCTCCCTCTTTGTCTTCCAGGGGGTGCTGGCTGCCTCTGGGCCGTCTTTTGGTTTATTTTTGTGTCTGATGACCCTCGCACTCATCGTCGAATCAGCGAAGAGGAGAGAGATTACATCATAAACTCTATTGGACCTCAGGTGCACATGAAACATTAAGAGACTCTTTATTTACTGCAGCATCTTGCATTTGTCAACCTTCCACTAGAAATGACAGAAGATATGAAATGAAACCTGAGGACTCAGAGGAAAATAATATAATCTCAGCTTTCTTCTTAGTTTGTGTGAGTGAGATGCTGAGAGGAGAGTGTTGGTGAGATGTAAAACTCAGGCCTCTCAAAGCTTTAAATCTTGGATATAAATACATGGAAGAAGTAGAATCACCTCCTGGTGGTTGTCTGCCTCCTCCACTCAGACTAGTTTCAGGTTACATCCAGAGTCTTATAAAATATTAAGCATTTGTCAGAATTTTTGTGTGAAATCTTGAGTAATGGCTATAAAGTGTTTTGTGAGGTCACCTCAACCTTGACCATTCACCTTTGACCTTTGACCTCCGAAATCTAATCAGTTCATCCTTGGGTCCAAGTGAATGTTCGTGTCAAATTTGAAGAACTTCTGTCAAGGTGTTACTGGGATTTTTACAAAATTTCTGAATATTTGGCATAAGTCTTAATATTTTCTCTGAGTCTGGATAAACAGAGATGTAACCTGAGACTAGTCTGAGTGGAGGAGGCAGACAACCACCAGGAGGTGACTCTAGTTTTAGTCAAAGACCCTAATAACTATACGTATATGCCTTTAAACAGAATCATCTTCTCTTTCCCACATCTAAAATAAAATCTTTCTTGTCCATGAATGTGTAATATGTGACCTTACAGTCTCCTTAGCCCTTAAGGTTCATAAACTCAGTTGAAAACTGTTTTTATAGAATCATTATTTCTTTGCTAAATGAGGATTTCTTTCCCACAGTCTCTGTGTGGATGTGAGATATCAGTCCTGTGCTGTATGTGTCGTGTGTTTGAAGATCTCCTGGTCTAATGATCTAAACTGGCTCTGCAGGGTAAAGGTCACGGCTGGTCCGTGCCCGTGCTGCCCATGATGCTGTCCGTCCCCCTGTGGGCGATCATCATCACCCAGATGTGTTCAAACTGGTCCTTCTACACCCTGCTCACCTCTCTGCCCACCTACATGAACGACATCCTGCACTTTGACCTCCAGTCGGTGAGTGAGGTCTCCCTCGGTCTCATCCACATGCACGCACTAAAAGCAACACACCGGATGTTTTGTGCTTCGGCCTGTTGTTCCATTCAGACTCATTCATGTGTTCACAGAGGATTATTTCCTCCAGTTCTACACTTTAACTCTCACTGTGTTGTGTTTAAGAGCACTGGGATTATTTCAAAAGTTAAATAATGATAAATGCCTGGAATTTAGTAGTTTTACAATAAATAATCTTCAGTTGTTGCTTCTCAAATGTGAAGATTTGCTGCTTTTCTCTGTTTTATATCATGTAACTTAAAAATCTTTGGGCTGTTGGTTGGACAAAAAAAAACAATTTGACCACATCACCTTAGCATGACATTTTATAGGCTAAATAATTAGTTGATTAATAAAAAGATATTCCACAGATAAATTGATGACTGAATGGATAATGAAAATAATAGAAGTGTCTCACTTGCATGTCGGAGAATGTTAAAACTGATTGAAAATTATAAGACAGGCTCTACTGAACCCTCCACTCTCTCTGTGAAGGTGGTGGGAGATGGGAGAGCTCAAAACTAAGAAATAATTCTGCACACAAGATTATTATGATGATCAGAAGTAAACCTTCTTACTTTGAGGTGTTTTAAATCTTTCAATCATTTTTCATCACAAAATCAATCTTCTCTTTTTTTTTTTTTGCTTTGTTTTTGTTTTTCTGATTGTGCTTGTTACGTTCCATCACACTGTCTGCTGAAAGGCAGATATGTTTGTGTTGATATGTTTGAACAAAAGTCTAAGTACCCAGAAATATTTAGTTTACAATGATATAAAAAAGCAGGAGTTGAGAGGCAGATTTTGTTATCATTGGTCAGAGCCAGGCTAGCTGTTTCCCTCCGTTTCCAGTCTTTATGCTAAGCTAAAATAATCTAACCATCTCCTGGCTGTAGCTTATTTATTATAGAGACATGAGGGTTGTATCAATCTCCTCCTCTAACTCTCAGCAACAGAGAGAAAGGTGTATTTGTTTAAACTTTACTGAGGTGTCAGACGTGATTTTACTGTCTGTGTTCTCATCACCTACATGTTGAGTTTTTCTCAGACTTCACTGATGTCACTGTTGGAATTATAACAAAATTATACAGTAATATTCTCACTTCCCCATCTCTTAAAACTGGACAAGGACAATCAGCCTTGGTACATCGAATCCCAACAAACATCTGAAGGAACGTTCCTCTCTGAAAGAATTTTGGAGATTTGTTTCTAGAATAACTTCAGGCACATTAAGAAACAAAATCTCATTAGACCCTAGGAGCTGGATCTTGGGAGATATACAGGGACTTAATGTGGACTACAGTGTTTTTGTTTTTTTTCTTTTGTGAACTTATTAATGGAAAATGTCATTTTCAACAACCTCCCTCTCTCTCTCTCTGTCTCTCTCTCTCTCTCTCTCTCGCTCTCTCTCCTCAGAACGGTTTCCTGTCCGCTCTGCCGTACCTCGGCGGCTGGTTGTTCTCCACGCTGTCCGGGGTCGTGGCCGACAGCCTCATCGAGAAGAAGGTGTTCAGCGTCACCGTCGTACGGAAGCTCTTCACACTCACAGGCAAGTGAACTGAGTCCTCCCAGATTCTTTTTGTGTCCTGTCTGTCGCACACACCTGCACGTGCACGATTACTTCTGTCTGACTGTCACAGGTCAGGGGAACCAGGTTAGGAGACAGTAAACAGACCCACATTAAACGTCATGTCAGTGTGAGTGTTTTATGTTTGGATGTGTCCCTCCTCTCTCTGCAGGGATGTTGCTGCCTGCAGCTTTCCTCGCCGCCTTGGGTTACGCCGGCTGCAGCCACATCCTCACCGTCACCTTCCTCACACTGTCCACAACCACAGGAGGGACCAGCTCCGCCGGAGTCTTCATGAACCAGATAGACATCGCTCCTCGGTGGGTGGTGCCGTCATTTCCGGAAAAATTTCTCATTTATTTGGACGAGCGCTGCAACTAACATTTATTCTCACAGTGAAACAGATAAAAAACAGCAAATCATGACATTTTATGAAGAGAATTTTTTTCATCTTTCTTGTTTAATGACTTAAACGATGCACAAGCAAATAATTGGTTAATCCCTTAATCATTTCAGTTTTAATCAAGCCTCAGACATATGAGAATTAATATGATCACTGTATTTATGTGGACAGGGTTTGACGAGCGGCTCATGCTCCAGTTTTGGTCATCATGCCGCCTGATGAAAACATCAAAGTGATACGCTTAATTATCTTCAGTAGCTGTAGTACAATATGTAATGTCATGGAAAGTAGAACAACGTTTCCTCCTGTCACGGTCTTTGTTTTGTTTCTGTCCTCTGCAGATACGCAGGATTTCTCCTGGGAATCACCAACACGTTCGGGACCATTCCTGGTGTCGTGGCACCGATCGTTACAGGATACTTCACAAAAGACGTAAGTCCCTAAAAAACCAAATCAGTCATCTGAAGGTGACATCACTACATCTGCAGCAGATGTGGTGAGGGGAGACTGAGCAGTAGAGTCTAACACACTTACAGTGCGTGTTAAAATTTAACTGATATAAACCTTTGTAGTTGTTTTTTGGGAGGTTGACCTGTAGTATTTATTTTGAGCTTTAGATATAAACATCTTTATGAAGAAAAAACTGGATTTCACTTGTTCTGTGCAGAAATTGTTCTCGTCAGAGTGAAAAGCTCCGTCATAATCATCACTAGACATCACAAATGATGAAAACTCATTTTGATTTCCAGTTGCACCTGCTGTTTTGAAGTTCAAACTTAGACTAATTTAAACCTAAATGTAAGTGTTTGCTACGTGTTGTTGTACATGTTATTAAATGAAAACAGGTTGATTCGCACAAACAAATTTTTTCATAGAGATTATTTGTCGCTAGATATTTATGCCCTTTAACTACTGAACCAACTGATAACACTGACATTGCTAACATGTGACCTGTTTAGACTGAAGAGTAATGTGGATTACAGTCGACATACCTGCTCTGATATTTGGTAAATGCTGTTTAATAATGATGTAAAATTTCACAGAAATAACAAACATACCTCAAACTATAAGAGGTGACGTCAAAAGTGACCAAATGAGTAAATGATGTCAGTTAGCTTAGCATAATCAGATGTTTCCCTCTCATTCTAAGCTGTATAAATATTACTGACTCTCAAACACAGACATGATTAAAACAAAGTAGTAATTACATTTATTTACACATTGCTTCACTCTTTACCAGTTTAGACATTTCTTAAGTTTTAATACTTATGGTCCCTTATAAACTTTATATAACTTTTCATTACTTTCATGCAAAAACCTTAGTGTCAGCTTTTCCCTTCTCAACGTACTTAGGAACAGTTACAGATAAATACACAAAATACCTGTGCACATACGAGTCATTTCAGTGACTCACTACCTATGCTTCTTCTTCTCTGGTTGTCAGCACACGCTGGAGGGCTGGAGGATGGTGTTCTGGGTCGCAGCCGGGATCAACGTCGGTGGCGCTCTCTTCTACATGATATTTGGCAGCGGGAAGATTCAGCCGTGGGCCATCACAGAGGAGGAGAGGGCAGAGGCGGGGAAAAAGAGGAGCAGGTCCATCTCGACATGAACATAAATACATCCGACACACCGCCATGACACAAAGACAACACCACAGACAAACCTTTATTTTTGGATTTTAATTAGTGTACCGAGAGTCAGAGACTTAGAGTTCTGCCTCTGTGAATTGCCTTATATATATATATATATATATATATATATATCATACAAAATGAAGAGTGTGAGAGGTTTATCTCCACACAAAAAACAGATATAAAAAATGTGGCCACAGAACAATAGTATTAGGTAAACAAGGCAAAACATTCATATCATTCAACCACTATATCTTGGTGATGTAATATTGGTTTCCACAGTGTTTTATCTATAATATGTAGCTGTGTTTCTGGGGCCAGTTGCACAAAACACCTTATGTTAAGATATTTACTTAAAGTCTGAGTTAACATTTTCCTTAAAATAAAAGCTTCTCCTTTAGTCTTCTCCTTAAGGTTTCATTATAATGTTCACTTATATTTAAGGTTTTCTCCTCATCTTAAGGAAACACTTAAAGTCAGTTAAACCGTTGCACAAAAGACCGTAGCAACCAAAGTAAGGGAAAAAACTAAACCTCTGTTCTCCTTAGAACAACAAGAGGATGAGATAACAGGTATCACAACAGCAAATCGACAGTCTCTATGAAAACAGTAGAATTTCACTGCTGTAAATTTCTTAACTTTTTCCCTTTAACAGAGGAAACACTTTATAGATTTTGTGAAACACCCTTAAGTAACTCCCTCAGCTAAGGAGAAAATGAACCTTAAGTGTCATACTTAGGTAGAAAACTTAAGGTGTTTTGTGCAACCGGCCCCTGGTCTTTTAAAGTTAATACCCAGATGAGCTTTTTGATCTAATCTGTACAGAGATTCCAGCAAAGAGAATAAAATTATGGAGCAGTTTTGTAGATAGATAGATACATACTTTATTTATCCCCTAGGGGTAATTCATGAATCAGAATCAAATTTTAGCCACATTTTTAAGGGTGGTAGGAGAAAAGCAGATGGAAGTCATGACGTCAAAGACAAGTGGACAGATTTACTATCGGCTATTGATTGATTACTGACATGATTCAACACCTGCTGGATGCTCGCTGCCGTTCCCAGTCAAGTTGTTGTTTTTTCTTTTACTTCTCTTCTGTTTACTGTTGTAGAAAAGTTTAGTTTTAAAGTACAACTCTTTGCATTAGACCAATATTTACATTATGACCAGCAATATTTGCACAATATACAGTATAATTCATGGACTACACAACACCTCAGGTCAGACCAAATCAAATCAATCACATTCATGTTTCATAGATTTTTTTTTTTTTTTTTTTTTTTTTAAAGCTTTTTCTTGGACAATGAAGGAAATGGGACCGAAAGTTTTATGATCAAAGCACATGCCTTTAGCTGCTTTGTTTACAGCCGTGTCTGTTTTCTGACCACCTCTCGTCTGTCCAGCACGACCAAAACAAGCACTTTCCACGTACAAAGAAACACCAGCAGCCTTATGTTTGATATTAATATTTAGCAAAATAAACTTTGTAGCGGAAGGTTTTATCCAGTATTGAGGAAACTGATTCAGAAAACCAAAGCATCTTCCACTGCCAGGATCTGAACATTATTATTCTAAGTACCTTGCTATAATAATTTATCAGAACACTATAGTTTTGAGTTTAACTCTTAAGGAATAACTGGATGTTTCAGTTTTCAGGTCACTTTCCCACCAAGATGCTGCCTTTATCCTTAATCTCTTCTACTACAATAATTATTGTTTTTATGCAACAAAGGACTTTTTAGAAGAAAAAAAAATTTTTATAGTACACTGTGATTGTAAATACATGATTTTGTTGTTTTTAAAAGGATGCAATAATTTATTTACCTTCTCTGTGCTTGGAAAATGTGTGATGTTATACAGATGTGTTCAAGTTTTAGTTCATTTTATTGTGAAAAGAATCAAGAAGGAGGAAAAAGACTCAAATCTGTGGCATCTGAGTGGAGTCATGTCGCACATGTTAAGCATTTTAGTTTATATAGACAGTATGTACATGTGTCAACATTATTGCATTGTCGCAGTTTGTTATAATCTGACAGTTTTACAGCAGAGGAGATGTACACGTGCACATATGTGGCGAAAACCAACATTTAAACGTTTCCAGGATTCAAGATGCTCCTCTGTTACTGAACCAGTCATGATGCGTTGTCTCTTCTGCTGCACCAAGGTGTCACACAAAGCTGCTTTTATATCATGACTTTATGCCAGTGATGCAGATTCTTGTGACCTATCATGACTAAACATATACCCAAGTGATGAGGAGATCTGCTGAGCCAAAGCCTGGACTCCCCTCCCTTCCTTTTGACCAGCCACCAAAAATATCTCTGTTGTTTGTTTTTATCTTCATTTGACTATAACATTTAGTCTAATGTTAATTTTATCTCCCAACATAAACGTTTATACTGTGTGTAAATCCTCTTTCAACAGGAGAATGTACACTTGTTTTTCCAGTTTATTAGGAACACCCAGCTACATTTAATAGTCACTCGTTTTCTGTTGAAACTGTTTCAGAGAGCTGTTGTGTTGTTGTGATCCAGATTTCACTTTAACAGCACCACAAACAGAACAACCACAACATCCTTCAAAATAATCACACAGCTGAATCAGCACCTCTCTAAAACAGTTTCAGTAAAAATTCATTACGATCTTCAAGAATAAATTGACAACTGTGTGTAATTCTGAAAAAATATTAATTTCCTATATATAAAATTAAAATTTATTTCAATTGTTATTATTTTGGCCTAAAAACAGACAAATTTGACAAATTGACTACTAACAAAAAAAGAAAAACCAGAATTAGCATAATAAGACTCCCCATGTGTGATTTATGTGTAATTCTAGAACATACACTCCTCAGGCTGTTAAACCCAGGGACAAAACTAAAGACAGGTCCTCGGTGCCTGAGACACAAAGAAACAACACATTTTGTTTTTATTTACAGTATCGGTGTGTTTCCTTCTGAAATGCACGCTACTGCTGTTAGTAATGTTTACTTAGTAATCTCTCTAGGTAAACACACAGATTGTCCTCCGTCTTGTTTGAGTCCACCAGCTGTTTGGATGTTTTCATGAATCTGTTGTGGAGTTTATTTCCACTGCATCTGGTTTTTGATACATATCAAATAGGTACATTAAGAGAAAAAAAACATAAATAAATAAAAAAGATGAATGAAAAATAGAGTTAAAGAGAAAAAGCTTCTCAATTGGAAGAGGTCATAAAACAATCTTTGTAGATAGATAGATACTTTATTTATCCCCTATGGGAAAGTCATGTAAGGTAGTGCATCAACTCCTATTGAAATACAATTGTTTTTGTGAATTTACATTGATGGACGTGGTGTTTGACAAGAATCAAAACTATACAAAATAAACTTGTTAATATCAGACCACAAATTCTGTGTGTAGTGTAATTATACATAATTCCTCCTTGCACCCACTAGGTGGCGCAAGGAAATAAATATTGGCTGTTGGTCTCTGGGCTTTCAAAATGGAAAGGCCAAAAAAAACCTAAAAAAAAAGTAATAACACACACACACACACACGTGTGTAAACCCAGTATGGTGGGTTTTAATTCAAACCAGTGATAATCATGAGTAATGAGTAATATGCATTATATTTTTGTGTATATCAGCAAAGCAATTAATTATTTCAAATTTGTTCCCTCCTTAATTCCCCAGTTTTCATAATTTTGTCTTAAAGTTTTTCATATTAGCAGATTAATTTAATTAAGATGACTCACTACATCCAATTATGTGAATATATAAATGAATTTGTTATTAAAAAATAAATAAATCATTCTATTATCCTAAATAATCGTCGTGTATACTCTTGAATATTTGTTTGTTATTGTTTGTTTGATCACTTGTTTTCTATTGCATTTACTTCCGTTGTAATTTCTTCAGTTACACACGGACATGTGTCTCTTAGTCTCTGTGTCCTCTTGGTGGTGTATGTTGACAGAGTAGTGGTAGTTTACTCAGAGGGTGTTTCTCCTGTTACCTGGACGGTGCTGGAGTTTGCATCAGATTTTCGGATGAATGACCCGGATGTTCTTGGTGTGAAGCCGGAAGTGCAGCAGGATTTGTCGTCCTCACGTCAACAAGACGTTCGCTCCCCGTTTATTTATACACTTTATACACAGCTTTATCTGAACGACAGCGTTTTAATTAGCATGATAAATGTTCCATATAAAGTAAGTAATAAACTATACTATTAGTTTATGGTTTGAATATATATATATACATATGTCTTTTCTCGACTATGAAACAACACAGTGACTTCAATTTATTTTTTCGTTTCAAAATGATGCCAAACCGCATTTAAATTTTAATAAATTTATAATGCCAGTGGAGCAGAGGTGGAAGAAGTTGCCTACTTAGATATTTTACTTCAGTAAAAGTAGAAATACTGCGGTGTAGAAATACTCTGAGCAGTAGAACTCAAAAGCCTACTTGTACAAAGTAAAAAACAAAACATATACCCTACTACCAAAAGTAAAAGTACTCATTATATATCATTATATTACTTTAATGCAGGTAAAGGCTCAGCTAATTTAACTACTTTATGTACTGCTATGGAGACAGTGAATTTCTCCCTGGGGATCAATAAAGTCTTATCTGATCTTAATAACCTACATCATAATATAGTTGATCAGATTCTTTCTGATAATTATTTTGTATATTAACAGACTTTTGCCACTTTTCTCTCATTTAATTTTCACGACACAGGAGTAATGTTAATTTTCTATTGACACTTCCTTTACTTTGCCCTTGACCTCACAGTTTCTCTTCTACTTTGCTTTACCACATACCACAGACCAGATTGCTTTTTTAAATGATGCCATTTGTAAATAACATGGTTCATAAAATACTACTGGACCAGAAACCTCACCACTTTCATATACTCAAAATACCCCTGACCCTATAAACATTTTTAGAAGAAAACACTTCACTCAGTAACAAGAGTAAACTCAAGTTTATTTTTACAGTCCAATATAACATACAGTATCAAGCAAAATAATGTGTATTATTTTCATTTTTATTATAGTATATGGGTAAAATAATGAAAGAGACTTTGAAAGGTACCAGGTCCAAAGAGAGATTTCCTCCTCCTGGGTCGACCTTAGGGTGCAATCAGAGCCGGTTTGTACCCCTCCCTGGACGCTGTGATATGTGAGTGATAAACACGTCACCTGCATGAGACTCTGGGTGTGAAACAAATGCAGACTGGACACCAAAAGGGAATACTTTGTTTGCAAGTGTGAAGTGGTTTGTTTCAAGTGTGGAGCAGTGGGGGTGTGTGGAGCTGTGGGGTGGGAGCAGCTAGAGACCGGAGTTGTGGAGCTGGCTGTGTGTTGCAAATGTGCTTCATTTGCATTAACTGTCCCCCCC